AGATACATATAATTTATTTATATATTTTTTTTGCTCTTTTTGCAGAACCATTTTCGATGGCACCTCAAAAGGCAATTGAAACGATTGGAAAAACCTTGAATCAACAGCACGAGAGATGGCAGCCTAAGGTAAGGAAAATATTGTCTTAAACCACTTCATCTCTTGATTCTTTAAAAATCACTCATGTTTTGTACTTGCTAAAAAGAAATAGACCGGAAACTAAGTCCAATATATCCTACAGACAGAAGCTTTTCAAGTCAATATTATAAACTAAATTTATTGCATCCAGAAAGGAAAACATTTGAGGATAAAAAGAAAATTAGTATATAGTTGGTTATTGAGTAGTCTATTTCAAACTACTATCGCTGAAGGCAGCAAGGAACTTCAAATAGTTGTTTAATCTAACAATGATGCTGACGAAAATTTCCTTGAGGTTTATGATGCCCTAAAACTTGGATCATATTTGAAGCATATATAATTTGATTTTTATTATGCTTGAACTAATTAATATTTTTTTCTCTTAAAAGAACACGGCTTCAAAATGCAAAGAAGGTTACAAATATTCCTCTGAGAGATGTTGTCCAGTCAAGACTGAAGAAATTCTCATTCATGAATAGGTTGAAAAGAAAGGCATTGAGGGTTGGTTTATAATTACAGTTTCTTATCTTCTTTTCTCAATGAAAATGCTTCAAAAAAAAAATCTGAGCTTCTGTTTCTATGATTAGGCGATTCCTGATTTCTTCTCTAACGAAGAAGTCGAAGACATAAAAGAGAGATTTGCTAAGATAGACACTGATAACAATGATATTGTTTCAACTGAAAAAACTGAAGGTTGGATTACAAAGCTTCAATTCACAACTGGCAGTCTGAAGTACAAATGCTTATTGAAACTGTGAGTGTATAGCCTGTCTTGGCATCTGGTTACCATCTGTTAGCATCTGGTTTAGAGAAACTACATATTTTTGTTCATGCTATTATTGCAGTTGCAAAAAGGAAGAAGCAAAAGGCTTGCTTCAGCATTGAGGTTTGTGCTGAACTATTATTAGTCAAACTACATTCATTTTGCTCTAATTTTTAGACCTAATTCTGTTTTGTTTTCAGTTTCTCACGTTATAGGTTGTTCAAATCGCGAAACCTATCATCGATTGAAATATAAGCAGTTTTTATTACAGTTCAATTCAACCAGCAGTTTCTACAAGAGAGGATAAGGAAAAACCCTCGCTACTACAATTGGAATCGAATTGATTTCAAATTTGGAGTTTATTTTGAGGTGATTTTCTATCTATTTCGTGGTTTTATCCCAGATCTTTCGAGGATTTTTTTTTTTTTTTTAACTTAGTTTGAACTTCATGTTTTCACAGTATTGGGTTTATGCAACCATGTTTTTCTTTCGAAATTAAATACTCTTTAGCCCGGTACTTTGATTTTTATGCTTCACCGAGCATAGAAAGAGCTGTTCTAAATGTTATCAAGTGGAGGTCTTTCAATATTCCCTAAATTAGAGAAAATCTGATGAGATTTTAGGTTGGGCATGCATATTGAACTAGCATGTTTGTATTTTGGATTTAATACTGAATTAATATAGAAAACTGGCAAGTGAAAAATCATTCGTCTTTGATTGAGAATATGAATCTAAATGACGCACCCCCGTCTTCCGCCATGCAGATTTCGGTGAGACTTTTGCTTGTATTTATTGCAAATATCCTTCATCTAAGGCAGTTCCTAGGTAATAATAGATAGATTCCTTACCAATATGCACCATACTTTGTTCAACTTCACATATATCATCTCATTCCTTGAAGGTGTCTCCAATAAGAAATTACTTGTTCGAGATTTGGGTTATTCATTTCTTGGATGCACCATATGTTATAATTGCTTAAAACAGTCCACTATTTATATTTGATTCAAGATTATTTATCCTTTTGGATTTACAATATCATTTCAAAAAAATGATTTCATCGCTCTTTTGCCAGTATGATTTTTTGGACAATACTTTGGTTTTTAGTTCCGGTTAAACTATTTATAAATTTTATTGAAAAAAATTCTGAATATTAGTGTTCAAGTCGAAAAATTTGTTGCCCTTCACTAAACATTCTGTGTTTTTGTAGCATCATTGGCATAAAACTCATAGCTTTTCAACATGTAATTCTGTGTTTTTGTACTGGCTAAAACTTTCTATGAACAAGTCGATGTAAAAAGAATGTAAACATGTTCTATGATACTTTAGGTTGTAAATGACAGGATAAAGGATTTTTACAATCTATATAGAATGACTTGAACCTTTAGTTATATTATTTTGTGTGCTTATTCCATTTATTATAGAAGGTTAGATGCTTTCATTTTCGAAATTTACTTGGTAATCATCACATGAAGCCTGAGATTTGTATTCTTTAGTAAAATTCAACTAC